CACGCCACTGGTGATCACAGCCCTAAATTTGGCTTCAAATTGCTCTAGCAAAAGTATTCGCAATCTGATCGGGGTAATGTTTAGTCACGAGTTAAGACTATCAAATATCTTTCCCGTGGAAGGATTTGTATTACATTGCAGTGTTACTTGAAAGAAATGAAGCCCATTTAATGCTCCAAAAAGGGGCCTTTTTTGAATATGGCCTGTAACATTTGCTTTCACCAGCGCGCCAATCACATTTTCTTAAGTGTTGTACTTTCCACAGCGAGAAAACTTTTTAGTAAGAAGCCAAAACTTATGAGCTCTCTAAACTTAGAAAACAATTTTCCCTAATAGAAGATTCGTACTAGTTTTTGTGCTTAACAGTAAGGCAACACCATGGCATGAAATTAATGTGCCTTGATCGTGTGCAAGCTGTGCCAAAGCTGTGCCAAAATCGCCGTTAAATTGTGCCAAAGCTGTGCCTATACTGNCTGCATATGTTATACTTGGTGATTCACAACAAAATACCTCTGGTCTAGCGCACGCCACTGGTGATCACAGCCCTAAATTTGGCTTCAAATTGCTCTAGCAAAAGTATTCGCAATCTGATCGGGGTAATGTTTAGTCACGAGTTAAGACTATCAAATATCTTTCCCGTGGAAGGATTTGTATTACATTGCAGTGTTAGTTGAAAGAAATGAAGCCCATTTAATGCTCCAAAAAGGGGCCTTTTTTGAATATGGCCCGTAACATTTGCTTTCACCAGTGCACAGATCACATTTTCTTAAGTGTTGTACTTTCCACAGCGAGAAAACTTTTCAGTAAGAAGCCAAAACTTATGAGCTCTCTAAACTTAGAAAACAATTTTCCTTAACAAAAGATTCGTACTAGTTTTTGTACTTAACAGTAAGGCAACACAATGACATCCCAGTTTTCATTGTGAGGCCATTCTATAAATTGTTTCCAGTTTGTTTACTATGGTAAATAAGCTTTAGTAATAGTAATATATCAAATTCATTTAGGGTTAACATCATTTTTTGACAACCATTTAACACTTTGCGCTGTGCCATGGCATGAATTACAGATTTCCTTGCGTGCCATGGCATGAAATTAATGTGCCTAAATCGTGTGCAAGCTGTGCCAAAGCTGTGCCTATACTGTGCCTGGGCTGTGCCTAAGCTGTATTGAAATTTGGCAATAATGTGT